AAATAAATAAATAAAATCTTTAAAAAAAAATTAAAAAATAGAAAACAACATTAGAGATCACTGGTTTCACAAGCACTTACCATTTTGGTGGCAGAAGAAACTATCAAGCAAAATATCACTAATAGCTACTGAAATGATATGAGCAATCTAATATTAAATTTTTAAAAAACCAAGTATCTATAGAATAAGCCCATCTGTCCTTAAGAAGGAAAAATGGGGGTATGCTTCTATACAGACAGAAAACCTTTTGCAAATGCAGCCCCAGTACATAGCAGTGGTTAACTTTGGAGCCAGGATTACGGGGATCTTTTCCTTTCTGCTTTGTACATTTCAATATAGACTGAATTTTTAACCACAAGCAAGTATTAATTTCTATTGCCTTTTTCTGATCATAAAGGATTTGGGCGGGGGGAGGGCGGGGACTTAAAAACAGAGAGGCAGGGCGCCTGGGTGGCTCAGATGGTTAAGCGTCTGCCTTTGGCTCAGGTCATGGTCCCGGGGTCCTGGGATCGAGTCCCGCATCGGGCTCCCTGCTCCTTGGGAGCCTACTTCTCCCTCTGCCTCTCTCTCTCTGTCTCTGTCTCTCATGAATAAATAAATAAAAAATCTTAATAAAAAAAAAAAAAAACAGAGAGGCAGATCATTAACACCAAATACCTCTGAATACCTAGGGAAGGCCAATGGGCTCCCAACACACAGGGTAACTGTGGTAACACAATTGTGGTAAAAGCAGCAGGAGAAGACCACACAGGGTGAAAGAGAGAATGGGGTGGTCAAGGACAAGCGTGATGAGCAGAACAATTTAAAAAGTCTGACAGTTAAAGAACAGGATAATTAGATGGGGAAACAGCACAAATGCAAGGCTTTAAAAAGGAAGGGAAAAAAAAAAAATACCCTAATTTGTTTACAAGGAGATGGGAAGGTGCTGGTAGAAAGACTAGAGACACCAGAAAAAGAACTGAGCCATTGGAAGAAGAAAGAAAGTAAGGGGAGCGAGGGGCCTCGCCAAGAAAAAGAAAGAACATCTTTTCCTTTTGCACTGGAAGAAAAACAGACTGAATGTGGTACAGATATCCAGGGGTAAAAAGGAAGAAAAATGACAAGTTTCATGCCTGCCATATGGCCTCCATTTCGTAACTTACAGAATGATTTACTGAAGAGGAAAACCTGGAGACTTGAGGGAGACCGCTGGGAAGGACACACCACACTGGTGGGCACCTTCTTGCCCCGGCTACCCCAACTGTGCGGGTTAATGCCACAGTGGCCCTGGGACCGTTAATTGTACGGACTCGCTTTTCAAACTGGGGGTGACTCACTAACCAGTTTTCTTGTTTAACAAATAAGAATCGAGTAGAAAACAAGGCACTTCTCACAGGTAGTCTCTTTGACTTATGTAATCTGCATGCATGTTTCTACTCACTAAAATGTATGCACATAGTCTACATCAGGTCAGGATGTAGAACACTTCTGATGATGGGTTGTGGTGGAAAAAAGCCACAAACACAGAAAACAGCTAAGAAGCTACGTAAAAGGACATCAAAAGAGCTGCCACAGGCCCTCGCACTTCACCTGCTGGTAATGCTGCTCCTCGGTTGGAAGCAGCCTCCCTGGATCCCTTCATCATCTCGACGGATTTGATCCACCTCGTATTAGCTGACTGGAATCCCTGTCCTCAAAAATTGCCTCCATCTCTTAAATTATTTTCAATCTTTAAAATATCAAATTTTATTAACAGAATTATCTCAAAGGGTTTAAAGCACACAATTTTCACTCTGTCTACAGCGCCCTCCCCACTCTGAACCAATCACTTTATTCCATATAGTTTTTCTCCTATGGTGGACTCCTTGACATCTCTTTCACCTGGGGAATCCTACCTGTTTTTTTAAACCAAGCTCAGTGGTCCCAACTTGTGGGTGCAAGCTTCCAGTGAACAGCCAAATTAGCAAAGATGAGTGCAAAACCCCCAGGATATGAACTGTTGTAAACTAAACATTAATATGTCACATATTCACTATTTTTCAAATATGCAAAGATGTTACTGTGATGAGTAAAATGACAGTTTATAATAAAAATAAAATAAAAAGCATCTGTGAATTAAAAATATCTTCTACTACTTCCACTATTCTCTTCATCACACACAATACTAATAGTCCAATTATCAGCATGATGTTAAAAGGAGGTGTGAAACCAAAAGTTTCACATTTGAAAAGGTTGAGAAACCTAAGCCTAGTTCAACTTTCTTCCATGAGCCTCACTTACTGTTTCTGTATTAAACTGCAAAAATCTTACAAGGACCAGAGCCTATCATTCCATTTTGTCAGATCCCACCATTCTGCCGTATTTACTTTATCTAAATGACACATTGTATGCTGCCGTCTCAAACTTTGCTCAACATTGTTCTTTTAAAAATATTCCTGGTGATACCTGTTTCTTGTCCATTCATTTTATCTGACGCATTTCACAATTTATTTATCACACTCGTAAGATATTTGATTGCTTCCCATTTCTTTGCTACTACATGCAACAGAACACTGAACATCCCAAACACTTCCTGGCACAGGGTTTCTACCCTAAAGGCAAAACTGCTAAGACGGAGTTTAAGTAATTGGTCGAAGTCACACAGCTAATACAAGTGGCAGAGTTGGGGAGCTGCGCAAAGGCCCCAGAGCCCATGTTCTGAAGCACTGAACGGTAAGGGATGTGGCCTGGCTGCCAACGCATCACTTGCCAAGCAATGGCGGTACAAGGTTCCTTCCTTCCAAATTCTCGTTACAGAATATATGGCGTAGAACTGTAAAAGGATTTTGTTACTGTAAAGTAATATTAACCAGAGTTTGGTTAACCGACTCTACATGTTCTGCATCCACTCAAGGAAAAAGGCAAAACAATAGAACGCATGTAATCTTAACATTCTCCGTATTTTCCACACCCTTGTCAGTGGTAAGGAATAAAATAAACCGTACTTCCTGGGCAGACTAGCCATTGATGACGAAAGAAAAATTTAAGGGATAAAAGAAGGTGCACATTCACCACTCACTAACACGAATTTATAAAATTTGTAATTACATGGTGATATCCGAGGCTCCTGAGCTTCCTTGAAAAACGTGCTGCCGCTCTTGCCTGAAAAGTCTACTTCTGTGGACACTACCTGATAATCGGCGAGCTGAACACAGCAGGTACACACAGCAGTTTCAGCTCTCACAGAAAGACAGCCTAGAGGATCTATTCTCAACAGACTAATGGGCAGAGGAGTAATACACATTTAATACCATGTAAAGATGAATAAAATGGCTACATTCGTACTCAGGCAACGCTCAGTCTTCAAGCAAGCTGGAATACGCTGGTTACTGAGTACCTAAACTGAAGAGCGTACAGTGCCCTCTAGTGACTACATGAACGCTAAGGATGTCACAGGAAGGAACACGACAGCTTTTCAGGAACGTTTGTACATTATTAATTCTTGCTATCACTACATAAATGATCGAACTATTAAGCGGTGAATTAATCAGTTAGGACATCAAAAGAGCTGCCACAGGCCCTCGCACTTCACCTGCTGGTAATGCTGCTCCTCGGTTGGAAGCAGCCTCCCTGGGTCCCTTCATCTCGACGGATTTGATCCACCTCGTATTAGCTGACTGGAATTCCTGTCCTCAAAAATTGGGTACCATCTAAGCCCACATTAACTTCCACTTACTTCTAACCCCAACCCCCCCCTCTGGGCAGGGATTTACACTTGAGGTCTGCGCACCCACACCCAACAGACCCCCCCCAACAACTGCAACATGGCCTCTACCCTCTTCACACCAGTAATATCCTTACTGTTAAAGCAACACACACCATGAAATACTGGATTCACCATGAAACAGGGAGCTTACTTCTAATCACACTTTCCTCCCTTCCCTCCTCAGGGACCCGCGCTCGGGCACACTCTTGTCCTCTACCCCGAGCAAAGGCTGTGTGTGCGACTCCGTCCTGCAGGTCGCCATGCTCAGCCCCCAGCTCCCAGCCATCTTTTTCACTGTAGACAAACTTTTAGAATAACAGTTACGAACAAATTTTTGTTGCAGAGATAAAACGCAAGTAAGCTGAAGGAAAATGAAATCCATAATCCCAAAGTTAGGATACGCAGGTTATAAAATAGAAACCTAACTGGTGACTCCTGTCCTCAATGGTTGTGAAGACAAATCCAAACTCTTCAACAGTGTTTATGAACTTCAAGTAACCCTCCACTCCCTGTTCAGCCTCATTTTCTGACCTCCCGTGTGCTCACCTCACTCCACCACCACATCGTGGAGCCGTCCCGTTTTCTGGGCCCCACAACCCAGAGTTCCCCTCGGAAATGCTGAAGCTCTGTCACTACCCCCGCCCCCCGGTCTCTGCCAGAACACCTGTCCGGTTAACGCTGACCCTAGCTGCGAACAGCCCCAAATCTCTTCCGTTCCAGAAGAACTAATCTAAACCACCTGCGGCCACCTCATTCATCTTACCAGTTGCTGGGTGGGAACGAGCTAGTGACTCAATTCTGACACAGGAGACAAGAGCCAGTCAGCCAGAGAGCTCCCACTGCATACAACACACACACAACTGAGAAGAAACCAGCCTCTCTTCTTCCTTTGGGTGATCTTCTGAAACACTCAAAACTCCTGTAACCATTTTGCTAACAGTGCCAGGACAACATACTTTCTTATTCTCTAAGCCAACTACAGTCAGATTTCTGTTGCTTGTAGCCAGAAGTCTACTAACTACTACACTAACACTTAAGTTCCCATTTTAGATAGGTCTTCCTCTGGGACAAGTTCTGGTACGTCCCAAACCTGCCACACCCCCAGTGAGTGCCTTTCTCCACCATGGCCATCACCAATCAAGCGACCACGCGGTGACTAAAGTGTAACCTCTCTGTAGGCAGGGACAACACTGAGCTAATCCGAGGTCCTGTTCCCCGCATCTAACGTAAGACCGCTTGGAAACAGCTGAGCTAGATGAATGAGCAATGTAAATGCCAGTGTAATGCTTTATTTTTGCAACCATTCTAAGTAGGAAACTGCCCAAGGGATGGCTTAGACTCAGTAAATATTAAAGAATAAATCTTAAACCTCTTTGAGGGCTTAAAAAAAAAATCCCATAACTTTCACACGTGAATTTTAGAAAAGATTTTAACAAGAAGGAATCATTTCCAGGTTATTCTGGATGGTGATTACAATGTCTGTCAATGCCACAAGGCCTCATTACTCACAGGATGCTCCCCGTGTGTGGCAGAGTTTAACTACAGCCCAGCTGTCCCATCAGGAAGGACTGCAAGTGGCCACCAGCGGTCTCCTCAGGAAGTCCACACTCCAGAGGAGCTGCCACAAAGGCTTGCTTCTGCTACCCACATCTCACACCAGCAGCTAGCATTTTTTAAACACACACTGAAGGCCAGAAGTAAGTTTTTAATTGGTGGAAAGAATGGACTAATAATCAGTATGGTGAGTATTAAAAAGTGCTTGTCTTTGGTGAAGCTGAAGGTACACATTAAACACAGGTACCAGCTAACAGTCTTTAGAGATACGTGCCACCACCGCACAAGCAAGTGTGAGAGTTCTGTGAGGTCCTTAGAGACAGAGCTCAGGCCTGGAAGCCCAGCTCATCCTCTAGACAGACACCAGTTCAGAAGAATTCCTCCTGTTACCTCTTATCAACTGTAGGAGTAACAAGATTGGACCACTGGAATGTCGCCGTGTCTCCCAAATAAAGCTTCGTGTAATGCGTTTAGCTTGGAAAACCTGAACTTCATCAGGCTTATAAACCAGGTTATATGTATGGTTTTACGTGCAAAATTTAGTAAGAAATTTGCTTTCGAGTAATTAAGGTTGTGGGGGGATACCTCAAAGATGGTTTTCAACAGTTCCTATTATCTACCCAAACACACACGATGGAATGACCAAATTGAGTTATTTTAGTTTGCAACCATCACCAATACAAACATGGCACTGAGAAATACATCAGCAAAAATTCTGATTGGAAACAATCGTGACAAAACATGAATCACCTTTCCAGACGCTCGAAAACCCGAAGTCCACACCACAACTCGCTCTGTATGTCCCGTACCAGCGTGCCCTGGTACCAAGTAGCCTGAATTTTCTTTTCCATCAGGTGTTTCATTGGGGGGGGGGAGGATCCCCATCTCTGAACACCTAACATGAAACTACGGTATCAAAATCCTTGCCTGCTTATTAGGGCCATCGAGGACCACAGCTGAGTGAGCAAGTGTAGTCCCCAAGAAACTCAGATACAGATCTGCCCCTCAGGTGTGTGGGGCACACTGGTGACCTGAAAAGGTCACTGCATTCTGTTCAATGCCTCCACTTCTATAAACACGATGGAACTTACACTAGTCGCTAACACCAGGTAGTCACAACCCATCTTACAGAACACTGATCATTCCTAAGTTTAAGTTTGTCTGCAAACACTCAGAGCAGAAAATAAGACTGTGGTCTTCGAACCTAAAATGTAGGACAAGACCTGAGGAAACCCCAGCTCTCTCTCTATTGCTCTTTGACTCGACTGCATCTGTTGTCTGACTCTACATCAGTTAATAAGGATTAATTAAAAGGGGTTAGCTGTTTCATGCAACACTATATCAAAAACTAATGATGTAATATATGGTGATTAACATAACATAATAAAATTTAAAAAAAGGGATTAGCTGTAACAATCACTTTTATAAACTGGAAAAAGGTAAACATCAGTTCATTTTAGGGTCAGAACACCATGGTTCGGATCAGTATTCTGTGGGGACCCGATTAAAGAAGCCCTCAAATTGATAACCTTGAGAGTTCTCAAGCCTGGAGACACTGGTGTGTGAAACTGTGTTCTGTATGAAAATCTCCCAGGTGTAATACTACGCTTTAATTAAACTGATAAAAGTGCTAAGAATGGAAAAGACTTCTCTTTGAAATGACAATGTTCCCTTTGGGGGTGAAGGCACAGTAAGCACAAGGGAAGGGAAGGGGAGAAACATTTCAATAAAGGATTTTCTTCTTCCCCCATCCTGCCAAAATTAACCCAATATCCAAAACCACGTAAAAAATACATTATTTATATATAGGCTCACCTTAAAAATGGCTTGTATTTCTGAAACTATTATATATTTAAGAAAGCAACAGGTTTTAGACACTAGAATTTCAAGCAGAACACAAAAACCCTAGACATGATCATTTAGTATAAATGATTTCACCTAAACACAGCCATTTCACCTGCTTTAAAAAATAATTTCACTTCAGTTTGCCAAAGCAGTTTCCATTTGAATTAATTAAGAGAGCTACTTTAGTGTCCGTTCCATGGTACTTACTAAAGTGTGTCAGGGGGACCAATGATAAGGACTTCCCACCGGTAAAGATCATTGTCATCTATTAAACCTGCTGAAAAGCCTTCCACTGGATTTTTGTTGAGTTCTGTGGAAAAAAAAAATTTTTTTGATCAAAACTTTTAGGCATATAATTTTCACCCAACAGATAAATTACAGAACCTGAATGTACATGTTATAAATTCGAAACTATTCAGCAGATATACCTGGGTCCACTAGCAAAATGCCACCTGATGGCCAAAACACTTCCATTTCTGTACCACAGGGACGTGACGTGGAAGCAAACTGTCCAGGAGATCACGTTCTAAACCCCTCTCACTTCCACCCTGGTTTCCAGCTAGGCTCTTAGCATTCTAGGTAGCCCTACGGTGGTAGATGGAACTCGTTAAGATGCAGATATCCAGGCCCAGCCCTCACAGACTGTGGCCCCCAGGTAAGTCAAACCAGTACTCCCAGTCATTCCTACACTGTGGTCTTTAGGGTACACTTTCAGAAGCACCAGCCGAAGCCTAAATACCTTTCTGTGGGAATTTGCTGAGCTTAGCCAACCTTCATTTATACCAGTGTGTATCTGTGTGACAAGCCCTCTGTCACCTTGGGGACACACGTCTACAGTTGGTGTTCTCAGACTCAGCAAGGAGAGAGCAGAGTCCTCGTGTCTTGCCTGTGTGTGTTGACCCCGTCCATTGCCAGCCAAGTTTCCGGCACACAGGAGTGGCTTAACAATAATAGCGAGAGGCGCGCCCCGCTGGCTCAGCCGGAAGAGCGTGCAACTCCTGATCTCAGGGTCCTGGGTTCGAGCCCTACACATGGGGTGTTGAGATCACTTAATAAATTTTTTTTTTTTTTTT